TGACCAAACCAGCCAAAGGCAGCACTAAGACGAGCAAAGTTAGTACCATTATCACATGTATTTACAAGTATCCTATTTTAGAAATAGATAAATTTATGTAATAATGTGACCAATGAAGTATACGTAAATGATACAGTAGTATACAGGAGTTAACGTAGCTACATTAAACCTCACCCAGATCAATGCTGACATCATTAGCTCTGACAGCAAACTGTGAACCGTTGATGACATCAGGATAAAGGTAGGCAGAAAAGACATTTGTACCCAGCTGTAAGCCACCAACTTGTGTTACAAAGCTGCAGGTTGTTGTCATGTACTCGTTCCCAGATATGGCGTAGGATATCGATGTACACGTTGTGTTGGTGTAGTTTCTGTTTTGCTTAAAGTTTTTTTTTTAAACTGGATACTCATATACATATACAGAAATACAAAACGACGAAACAACTATTAATTGTTGAATAGTTAGGATAGAAAAGTACCACTCATTTATACCAATTACCCTTTGTCAACCCCCTCTCCGGTGATTAAGCCATGTTAAATGTTACTATGCAAAACATATCCACCTCCCTATCCCTAAGCCTAATCCTAACCCTATACATAGTCCATTTTTATTTCTTATTCCTTATCCCTAACCCTAATCCTAACCCTAACCCTATCCCTATCTCTATCCCTATCCCTATCCCTATCCCTATCCCTATCCCTATCCCTATCCCTATCCCTATCCCTATCCCTATCCCTATCCCTATCCCTATCCCTTACCCTAACCCTAACCCTAACCCTAACCCTTACCCTAATCCTAATCCTAATCCTAATCCTAACCCTAATCCGAACCCTAACCCTAACCCTAAAACTAACCCTAACCCTAACCCTAACCCTAACCCTAACCCTCACCCTCACCCTATCCCTATCCCTATCCCTATCCCCATCCCCAATCCCCAATCCCCAATCCCCATCCCCATCCCCATCCCTATCCCTATCCCTAATCCTTATCCTAACCCTATTCCAATAAGTAATATGTCTGATTGGTTTATGTAGAGCAGGGGTTCCCAACCTTTTTTAACTCTAGAGCACATTCTAAAATATCGGTAGGGTGGCGGGCACCACCTATTTTAAATCGACAAACTCCTACCAGAGGCTTAGCGACCCTTCCCGTCACCCGGGGACAAAACTTTCGATTTGCACCCCCCCCCCCTCAAACTTTCGATTTGCACCCCCACACCCCCCCCCCTCAAACTTTCGATTTCCATCCCCTTCAATCTTTCAATAATGTCTATGAAAAAAAATTCTGTCTCTGTCGAATAGTGAGAGGCGGGCACATACGAATCGTTCGGCGGGCGCCATGGCGCCCGCGGGCACGGGGTTGGGAACCCCTGATGTAGAGGATTAGTGGCAGTGAAGTGATGTCTCCCTTGCATGCCAGATCATTAATAGTATTTTATAGTAATTGGTATTTATACGGATATTATAGTCATGTACCAATATCCATACCAACCTACCACATCAACAATACCATCAGACAAACCTACCACAGAAAACATACCATACCAACATACCACAGTAACAAAACCACACAAATCTATCACAGCAACAAAACCATACCAACCTACAACAGCAACAGCAACATAACCATACCAACCTACAACAGCAACAAAACCATACCAACCTACCACAGCAACAAAACCATACCAACCTACAACAACAACAAAACCATACCAACCTACAACAGCAACAAAACCATACCAACCTACAACAGCAACAAAACCATACCAACCTACAACAACAACAAAACCATACCAACCTACCACAGCAACAAAACCATACCAACCTACAACAACAACAAAACCATACCAACCTACCACAGCAACAAAACCATACCAACCTACAACAGCAACAAAACCATACAAACCTACAACAGCAACAAAACCATACAAACCTACCACAGCAACAAAACCATACAAACCTACCACAGCAACAAAACCATACCAGCCTACAACAGCAACAAAACCATACCAACCTACAACAGCAACAAAACCATACCAACCTACAACAACAACAAAACCATACCAACCTACCACAGCAACAAAACCATACCAACCTACAACAACAACAAAACCATACAAACCTACCACAGCAACAAAACCATACAAACCTACCACAGCAACAAAACCATACCAGCCTACAACAGCAACAAAACCATACCAACCTACAACAGCAACAAAACCATACCAACTTACAACAACAACAAAACCATACCAACCTACAACAACAACAAAACCATACCAACCTACAACAACAACAAAACCATACCAACTTACAACAACAACAAAACCATACCAACCTACAACAACAACAAAACCATACCAACCTACTACAGCAACAAAACCATACCAACCTACAACAGTAACAAAACCATACCAACTTACCACAGTAACAAAACCACACAAACCTACCAGAAACACATTACCATATAAACCTACCACAGAAACAATACTATACCAACCTATCACATCAACAAAACCACACAAACCTACCAGAAACACATTACCATATAAACCTACCACAGAAACAATACTATACCAACCTATCACATCAACAAAACCACACAAACCTACCAGAAACACATTACCATATAAACCTACCACAGAAACAATACTATACCAACCTATCACATCAACAAAACCACACAAACCTACCAGAAACACATTACCATATAAACCTACCACAGAAACAATACTATACCAACCTATCACATCAACAAAACCACAAAAACCTACCAGAAACACATTACCATATAAACCTACCACAGAAACAATACTATACCAACCTATCACATCAACAAAACCACACAAACCTACCAGAAACACATTACCATATAAACCTACCACAGAAACAATACTATACCAACCTATCACATCAACAAAACCACACAAACCTACCAGAAACACATTACCATATAAACCTACCACAGAAACAATACTATACCAACCTATCACATCAACAAAACCACACAAACCTACCAGAAACACATTACCATATAAACCTACCACAGAAACAATACTATACCAACCTATCACATCAACAAAACCACACAAACCTACCAGAAACACATTACCATATAAACCTACCACAGAAACAATACTATACCAACATACCACAGCAACAAAACCATACCAACCTACAACAGCAACAAAACCATACCAACCTACCACAGCAACAAAACCATACCAACCTACAACAGCAACAAAACCATACCAACCTACTACAGCAACAAAACCATACCAACCTACAACAGCAACAAAACTATACCAACCTACAACAGCAACAAAACCATACCAACCTACAACAGCAACAAAACCATACCAACCTACAACAGCAACAAAACCATACCAACCTACAACAGCAACAAAACCATACCAACCTACAACAGCAACAAAACCATACCAACCTACAACAGCAACAAAACCATACCAACCTACCAAAGTAACAAAACCATACCAACCTACCACAGTAACAAAACCATACCAACCTACCACAGTAACAAAACCACACAAAACTATACATTACTATATAAACCTACCACAGAAACAATACACTTCGCTGCTGGATAAGTCTTCTTTGTGGGACAGACAATAGAGACGTCCGGGCCGTCCGCTGACAAAGTTGGAGTGTTGCATACAACGTTTTCAGGTGGTACTGAAAGCAACAAGAATAAAGTGTGTATCTTCTTCATTGAATAAACGATATCTGTTAGAAATTATGCTAAAGAACTACTTATTGCAAGCGACAGCCCTTTTATTAAAAAAAAATTGTTCCAATGTACACAAACTAAATTTTTGGAACATACATGCGTTATAAAATTCTACTTACCGTATACAATAGCAGATGAGCACGGGGTGATAACAGAAATAGCGGTGAGAGCGGAGGCTACACAACTTAAAGGAAATATGTTTTCAAACCAAGTGCGATTTCTATGGACAATCATTAATGTGCTGCTTAGAATGTAATTATTTACACATTGAATAGTAGCATTAAAAGGACTTAAAGGATAGTTATTGCAGCTACACACATAACAGGTGGTGATAGTAATATCCAATCTTGTCCTCCAGTCTAATGCAGTGATTGAATTAGCATTTCCAAAGTTACAATCAATTTCATAGGATAATCCTTCTTTAAACAGACACTGCCCAGGGTCACTTGCCTCTGTGATTTAAAAACAGTCAAATCAATACACCGCGATTTAATATTTTCATTATCAGGATATACATAGTATTTAGTCGAGCTTGTTAAATATTACGATGTTTGAATGAATATTGGACTGACACAATGTATTCACACAAATATATATTTATATATGTCTATCCATATATATATATATATATATATATATATATATATATATATATATATATATATATATATATATATATATATATATATATATATAATGTATATATGTTTGTGTGTCTATCCAAATATATATATATGTGTGTTTGTGTAGTTCTGTGTGTGAGGTTTACATAACTGTTACATATATATTAGTATTTTACCTGCAGTGGTAATAACTATAACAACAATGAATAATATTCCATTTGTTGCGCAGGAGAAGAAACCCATGTCTATGAATATTTAGTCGTACATTATGTCGTCCTCTGTCTCCATATAAACATCAAGTAGTTATTTATTTTGTCATTAAACTTACGAAAACGACCGAACTCGTAAAACCTAGAAGATCTACACATGTGCAGAATATAGCGCACACTCTATCTTATTAAATATTGTGTGAAACCAAATTATACATTGCATCTACTAGGTCAATATATAATAATCTATCAAACCATATGTAAAATTTCACTCGTTATAATTAAAGAAGTTTAATAGAAGTTCAATAACGTACACACACTTTTCGGAAGCCAATACTGTACAACACACTACACTGTGCTGCCAATAGGTAAACCAGGAAGTAATATATTAAACCTACCTATTGAACACACCGACACAGTTTATCTTATAATGAAGTTGGTATACATTATACTGTCTAGTTTATATTTTTTTTATTTAGTTCCTGAATAGTTGTGGGAAAATAAAATGTTGCAATCGCCAATTTAAATGTATCACTTAGATCTTCATTAATGTATGGTAAGGAAATAATGAAACTTATCATTTGAAATAACTATTTTTGGTGGGGCACGGTTCTTAGTTGGTTACTGGCTTAATTCCATTAACCGAAGCGAAACTCAGGCAACATATGTGTCTTTACAAATGTAGCCCTAACAGTGTCCTGTTATTGGACCTGACCTTAAGAGAATGATTGATACAAAATTATACTGAGTGGCAAGGAAACATTAAGTTATTTGTATAACATAATCTTTAAAAAAGAGATTACAATGAAATCTACTTTTGTTAGTGTTTTCATAAAACAAAGTCAATCTTCTCACATACATGTAACACATTATAAAGGGAGTCAAATGAGAATGGATACAAGTAAATTTATATCTAGTTTTCTCCCTTGATAATATTTTTTTTTACTTTACAGAAAGAAATAAAGAAATGCCGTTCTCGGTGGCCACTTTTAGAACACAAATGTTCAGTTTTGTTAAGATAATAATGAATAAAATTATAATGAGTCATGTTTGATTTCCCAAGCTTTATTTAAAATTGAATAGATGATTTTAGGCTGTAAATAGAATTATTTAAAAATCTAAAATTTAGTTTTGAAGCTTTTTTAAAAAAACCTTTTTATGAATTTCGGCATTTCTTTGAATGAACGGGTCTGATTACTAAATAAAATCAAATTTTACTGTCATCAGGCTAGCGTTTACAGCTAATCCCTTCACACATTTTTGCTACAGGAACATAACGAGTAAAATTGGTTTGTAACAACGGTTACAATGTGCAGACAGTGAACAGTTTCCGAGTTTGTAAAATACAATTTCATACATGCAGATAAATTAGGCATAGATCCAACCGATACAGCTTTCGTTCATTGTTCGCCGTTTCTGTTGATTAAAAGTCGATTCGGTAACACTTTTAACAGTCCGAAAATTTCATATTACACATTTAAAATGTAATCGTACATAACAATATATTATTTTTTAACTAAAAACTTGCCAGTCATGGAGATAACTAAACAGTTTGGTTAGAATTATTAAATAGAATACATTATAATATTCCCTACAATATTTATTATTTTCAACCAAACCAATATTACAAAAATTAACATATATAACACTGAAACATTATCTAACATTACCTTGAAAATTAAAATTGTTTTCCAGTGTATTGAAATTTATATAAGCAATAGTAGATAAGTGATTCTAATATTATTTCGCCTTATTTAGCTGTAATATTTTAATAAGTATGTAATGAAGAATGTGTGTGGGTTACTGTTAGTCTTAGTGGTATTGTAATGAGTCAAAAGGTGGAGATAGCAGATATTAAATATAGGCTGATGGGAAAGCAAGATAGGGCCTACTTGAAAAGGTGAAATCTTTCGTTAAGCTAATAAACATTGTTTGCTGAACTAAACATGGCGTCCAGGATCTACGGTAATTTTATGACCCGTCTACATCTGTTGGCTTGGACAAAATGTAAATAGATAAAAGCACAGTTTTAGTAAAATCTTATCTGCGATTCTTACATTATGGGAGGCGCAGAGAGTCATTTTAGTTTGTAAATTGCAAGTAACACTGGAGTTCAATGCCAATCGATCATACGGGTGTGGAAAGTACAACATTGTCACAAATACGTAACAGCTGGTTCATAAATAAACCCCAAACAAAATATACCTTAGAAAATATCCCCACCTCCTTCCTGTCGTTTACTAATTGAACCTATCCCTAATAGGTATTAGAACTGGGATTGGGACAGGGGCCGCAACCAAGCAAGGTTTAAATTACCCCCCCCCCCTTAAGTTGTAACCCAGTGTATGTGTTACTATTGTTTTTATTGTTAACTCTTAATTTTAAATTACATGAAGGCTATTTTAAAAACGATGGTTTTAATTTTAAGTTTGCTCACTTTGTAGGTAAGAGTTTTCGATGAAAATCGAAGTTGTACTGTTATTCTTATGACCCCTGCACGAGTGTAGTCATCTATTCTGAACAAAGTACAAGTAACAATGTTGGCGACATCTCATTCTCTCGGGTCCACAATAATAGCCCGAGGCAAAAGTTTTGTTCCTGTTATTATTTGATTTTCTACAGATGATAATGATGTAGATACTAATCTTCGCCACCAGATTGTTAATGAGTTCATCACATAGTATGTATAAATAGTGTAGCATACATGCGACAATTTACTAGACTTGACAGTTCTCTAACACAAGCTTACGATTGATCATGGCTCTCTTGTTTTTGCTAGCATGTGTCATTGTTCTCACTACCAGCTATTGTGTGCGTTGTTTCTTTCAAAACTTTAGTTTCGAATATATATATATAAATATATATATATATATATATATATATATATATATATATATATATATATATATATATTTATTTATTTAATTATATATTTAATTATTTATGTATTTATTTCTATTCCAGGAAAGCTCAGCCTATCGTACTGATTATGTCAATATTGATGACATCGATAATGGACATGGAGGAGTGATAGTAAGCCGTGACCTCCATGACATACAACGGAGAGAACCGACCATTGAATCTCTCTCTGAAATTTTACTGTCGCTGCTCATTGATGCTTCTCATGGTATGTTATAATTGATGTTATAACACATGCCGTTAATGTTACACCGGTCTAGATGAGTGCTTATCTATCGTAATGACTCACAATGATGTATAATACTCACAACTGCTATTTACAGAACAAACATGTCCGTTATTGCATCGACCTTACACTAAAAAAAAAAATTTACAATCATCTTTATTTGGAAAAGCAAATGATTAAAAGCTAGTGACACAACTAAATTAATGTTGTACCCGTTAGATATTAATATGAAATAATGCAAAACGTAGTATCTATGTAAGCAACTTTTGTAGCTGAAGTACCGGGTAATAAGACCTATCTTTTATGGAGGTTACTTTTGTTACACGTTAAAACATTTAGAATAAAATACTACAACAAATCTGAATATTGAAACTAAATATTTTAAATCTAGAAACAGGAATTGATGCTGAAGAGTTTAGAAACCGTACAGTCACCCTAAAAAATCAGGCACTTGAGATTTTGGCGAAACAAAACTTTAAAGGTAAGTTACAAAATTCTTGTTTTTTTTTACTATAACTGAATCAAATAAAAATGCTCACCAATGAACAAAAGTATTACATGCACGCCTTCGAACTATATTTTGACCAATGAAAGTAAGGTCGGAGTGGTCTAGCGGTAGAGAGCTAACCCGTAAGTCTTGAGTTCGAATCCGGGTTCAAGTTAGTAGACCGTCCCTGAGTCCACCCAACTCTGATGGGCACCTAACTCACGTTAGGGAATGTAAAGGCGGCTGGGCATAGTGCTGACCACACTATCTCTTCATATGCCGAGGTCGCAGAAACAAGTGAACTCTACTTCACTTGCCCCGTAGACCGTCAGCTTTGAAAGGGAAATTTACTTACTTACTTCACTTACTATAAAACATTAGATATTACTTTGACTTAAACGCCAACAAGTTGTTTATTGAGCTTCATAACTTGCTATGCAGCTATTTAAAACCATTCATGTTTATTTCAGTTTCCAATGAAAACACCATTAGTGTCTTGAAAGAGCTGTCATTGGATGGTCACAGCGGCATTAAACTCTCAGTCTTTGTTGATGGTAGGCTAATTATTTGCTTTTAAAGTGGGTCCTCGGCATTATTGACTATAAAAAAAAAACCTCTAGTTCAATACTATTTACGGCTCTGCCTTCACTACAGAGTTTCTTCCAGGCATCTTTTCGCCCCCCCCCCCCCCCCCCCCCCGAACGAAATTAAATTTATATAATTTATATAGAAAATATATACTTTTAACAGTGTCCGCCCCCCCCCCCCCCCACCCGAAGAAAGTCTACCGCCCCCCTCCCCCCCCCCCCCCCGAAAATTTCAAGTGCCCCCCCGGAGAAAAAAGTATGGAGGAAACACTGACTACAAATCAATTACCAGCATTCAAAAAAACTTACCTCAGGCAGTTTTCCACAATATTTAATTTGTTATTAAAAAACTTCCCAAATATATTATAGTCCAGAATTTTTTATAAAACCAGTCCAAAAAAATTACTGAGACTTAATATAAAAATACCGAAAAAGATATTGGGCGCAAGCATTGTCAAGAAAATAAAAGAAGGTAGTATATATTAATTAAACCGCCGGGTAGGGAATATACGTATACACCGGTATGGCGGCGCGTAAAACAAAAAAGTCCATAAAAAACAACCACCTCTAGTAAGCCTTTAACTTTCAAAACAAAGGCGTCCTGTAATTGCAATATCTTCTTCAACTTAAACGAAGTATGATAACCGATTTGATGTAAATCTGTCTGTTGTAACAAATACTATTGCATTCACTATTTAAATTGTGAGTCAACTCACTAAAAATGTTCCTTCCTTGTATTTCATATAAGTGTATATCAAGAAGAGATTGGTTCTATCCATTAGAGATTCCAGCAATTGTTTGATCAATTAAAATGAATTAAAACAATTTACTTAAAAAAAAATATAGTTATGATATCGACACATTTAATGAAAAGACACATTTAGTAATACGCCTTTTTTTGTTCCCACGCATGTAGAAAATAAATATTTTATTTTTACAAGGTGCAACTGAGCAACAGTCGATGACAATGATGAACTGTTTGAAGATACTGAAAACTCTTATTGACAATGCCGCTAAACTTGATCGTATGATAAATTATGCACTTTTAATATACTCTTTCATGTTAAGTTATATATATATATATATATATATATATATATATATATACATCATTTCTTAAATCCTTTTTTTTTTTGGATAAAGTATTAAACGAAATAAAATTGAAAAGATATTTTAGATTCCAACCATAATGATCCTAGAAATGTATGTTGGAAAATATACTAGGCATTCTATTTCCATTAATGTATCATTAGTGCTCTTTGTTGTTGTTTTTTTGTTTGTTTTATTTTGTTTTTTATTTTTTTAATTTTCGAATCGAATCTTGTTAGCAAACAGCCGACAGTTTTATCGCTACATCGCAGCTATAGCAGATGTTGCAAGTAGTTTAACTCAGACAGTCGACAACACCGGTAATTATTTTAAAGCATTTTGTTTTTCTTAGTTAATAAACCAATAAAAAAATGTAAACATTTAAGGGTGTTAAAAATCTTCAATATTTTAATAATCAGAAACAAATGAATTTAGGTAAATAAATTATAAAAAACAAAAGTACATTCTGGTCTCTGTATTAGAATAATTATGTCACTATATATTTAGTTTAAAATTTTTGTTTTTGTCATTGTTTAACTCTTAGTAAACGCATAAAAGTTATAATTTGTTATCATTTTTCATAAAACGAGACGTTGTTTTTTAGCATTTTTAAAACTAATTATGTTTCAGTTAATCTGATCACTGCGCTGGAAAACGGAAAAAGGGTAAGTAAAAAGATATTAAATACAAAGATATTTTTTTTAATTATTGTACAGTAACTATGATCATATAACTTTGTGAGAACGTGTACATTTATTAGAATCATCTAACACGGACATATTTTAAAGAGGGAACAGAAAACCTATTTATTTTACTTTTTATTATGTAACCGCAACTAAAACAATTGCATTTTTTATTAAATTTAAACATTAAAAAATTTTTTTAAAATTTTAACCATTGTTTTACAATTGAGAAATTGTTTATATCCTAAATTTTTTAAAGTTTTTTATTTGTCTTTCAGGAAACAGAAACAAAAAGAGACGGTAGGAAGTGTTCTAGTTTTTCAAGATTTTTATTGGTGTTCTCCTAATGCATATTTAATTACAATTATCTAACCTTATATATTAATAAATACGGCCTAATAATAATCATAAAATATTTTGAAGCATAATATTTTGTTTTTCATTATCTAAATAAAGTCTGGTTTTATTTCAGTTGAAAAAAGAGGAATAAATATAAAAATAACTATCACAATTGAATTTAAATGAGGCTGAAGAAAAAAGATCATCTTATGCAAAGTAAATTCAAGTTGATCTGTGGATTACGTTTAAAGCTATATTTTTGATGTTAGTGTTTTAGATTTTAAAAAAATCTATTAAAATGAAATAATTGCATTCAAATTCTGATATTGTTGAATATTTTTTAAACCAACCCGCATACATATCTTTGTTCGAATGTACCTGTTTATATAATTGTATATGACTGTGTATGACGGTGTATGTGTATACGTAAGAAAATGAACTCTTTTATAATGTACGTGCTGCATACCCAAGCTTCGCCACGGTGCAAAACTCTGCAAAGTACGTTTTTGGAGGATAGAGAAGAATGACACTAAACATGTTTGTTCTTTTGAAATGCTCGTAAAATAAATATTACTTTCACAAAATGATAATTTAAAAGAATAAACGAAGAGGATAACGAAGGATGAAATTAAAAAATAAAAAAGCAACTTAGCATTCCAACCTGCACGACACCATGAACCACAAACAAAACAACACATCACCCTCCAATGTCAAACACGCACTACCCCCCTCCCTTTGCCAACACGACACATCTCACTGCATCACGATCCATACCCAACCACTCATCCTACACAATACACTCGATTTTGTTATACAATACAACACATACAAACTAAACACAACACACAGAGTAGATAAAAAGTGTACCACCTCGCTGCATACCTTAACGAACACCACCTCAAACAGCAGGACATCATTAACGAAACTGTTACGACTGTGTGAGAGATTTGAACCACTTGTTCACTACCATGTGATAATATCAGACACTCTAGGTAGCCATTAGGCTATTTCATATCCAGACAACCAGTTGACAATTTATAGATATTACGAACACATGGTTTCTGTGGCGAGGTGAGGACAGGGTCGACAAGAATCAAACACGTTTACAATTTATTGCTTGTGAGATTACACGAAACCTAGGATGCCTATAAGAGAATGGACCTCCTAACTTTCCTAACCCCACCTTTTATACCCCACCTTACATCATAAGTTTTCTGCGCTCTATGTCACTTCCCTCCCAATCGTTCCTATGCTACAAAATGTGTGTGTACTATTTATTTACATTCTTTGATCTCAATATAACTAAAATAGACTATAGATTGAAGGTTAATAAAAACATGTAAGCAAAAGGGACGCTTCTCTAAATCTACGTAAATACTTATATGTAACAATCCTAACAGTTTCCTTCAACTAATTTATTCTGGTTTTGGACTTATAGCCTTCATCTACATGCACATCTCATGAATCATTCTCCCGACTGAGTCACACCGGTCAGTATACGTCCTTTCACCACGATGATCAAGATAAGACTAGCTCACACACAAAGCCCAGCAAGCAAGTTTCTACTCATAACGTCACTAACTTTCAATCCGTGTCATCCTTCTAATGCGTTCAACATACGGTTCGCACCAACATTCACTCGCGCCTATCTATACTTGAAACATGCATCACAACAGACACCCCGAAGCGAATCCAACGATACCCCGGTCCACAAGTCATCACACGCTTCAAACGCCACCTCACAGCCTAAAGAACAACATTGCACACAATGAAAACAAAACACTACGCTCTACAATATATATTAAAACTTAAAATCCTGAGATAATTAGTCCTTGAGATCATTTGTCCTTGAGATCATTTATCCAGAGATCATTTGTCCTCAGATCATTTTTACAGAGATCATTTGTCCTGTTATCATTTGTCTTGATATTTTTTGTCCTTGACATAATTTATCCTGAAATAATGTGTCCTAAGACCATATGTCCTTAAGATCCTATACTGTACAATACTTCACAGTGCTGCCAATAAGTTAATAATCTAACTTGCCTATCATTTGAAATTAATATTTTTGTGAGGCACTGCTCAAAGCTAACAAATGGCATGATTGAAAGCCATAAACCGAAGCGAAACTCAGGCAATTCATTTGTCTTTACAAATGTAGCCCTAACAGTAACCTGTTATTGGGCCTGACCTTAAGAGAATGATTGATACAAAATTATACTGACAGGCATGTAAACATTAAGTTATTTGTATAATATAATCTTTAAAGAATATTTTCAAGAAATCTACTTTTGCTAGCGTTTTCAAAAACAATGTCTGTCTTCCCTTGTATGTTATACGTATTATCAAGGGAGTCAAAGGATAATGGATACAAGTAAATTTATACCTAGTTTTCTCCCTTGATAATATTTTTTTTTACTTTACATAAAAGAAATAATTTAGCTAAAATTACCGTTCTTGGTCGCCACTTTTAGAAAACAAATGTTCAGTTTTGTTAATAGAATAATAAATAAAATTACAATGAGTCATGTGTGATTCCCCAAGCTTTATTTAAAATTGAAGAGTTGATTTTAGGCTGTAAATAGAGTTATTTAAAAATCTAAAATTTAATTTTGAAGCTTTTTAAAAAAAACCGTTTTAAGAATTTCGGCATTTCTTTGAATGAACGGGTCGTATAAATAAATAAAATCACATTTTACTGTCATCAGGCTAGTGTTTACAGCTAATCCCTTCACACATTTTCGCAAAAGAAACATAACGAGTAAATGTGGCTTGTAACAAAGCGGACAACGGTTACAATGTGCAGACAAACATTTTCCGAGTTCGTAAAATACAATTTCATACATGCAGGTATATCTAGCATAGATCAAACCGATACAGCTTTCATTCATTGTTCGCCGTTTCTTGTGATTTAAAGTCGATTCGGTAACACTTTAAAAAGTCCGAAAATTTCATATTACACACTTAAAATGTAATGTATACAAGAAAATAAAAATTTTTAATGAAATTATTCTATTGTGATGCATTTAGTAAATGGAATTCAACTAAAAAAAATTGCCAGTTATGGAGATAACTAAACAGTTAGAATTATAAAATAGAATACATTATAATATTTCCTGCATTTTTTTATTCTCAACAAAACCAATATTTAAAAAACTAACATTAAATATAACACTGGAACATTATCTAACATTACCTTGAAAAAAATTGTTTTCCAGTGTATTGAAATTTATATATGCAAAAGTAGATAAGTGATTCTAATATTATTTCGCCTTACTTAGCTCTAATATTTTAATAAGTATGTAATGGAGAAGGTGTGTGAATTTCATAAAGGGTTACTGTTAGTCTTAGTGGTATTTTATTAAATCAAAAGGCGGAGATAGCAGATATTAAATATATGCTGAAGGGAAATCTAGATACTTGAAATGGCGAAATCTTTTGTTAAGGCAATAAGCATTGTGAGATAAACTAAACATGGCGTCTAGGATGTACGGTCATTTTATGACCCCTCTACATCTGTTGGCTTGGACAAAATGTACAAAGATAAAAGCACAGATTTAGTAAATGTTTATCTGCGTATCTTACATTATGGGAGGCGCAGAGAGTCATTTTAGTTAGTAAATGGCAAGTAACAATGGAGTTCAATGTGAGTCAATCATACGGGTGTGAACGGTACACCTGTGTCACATATACGTAACAGCTGGTTCATAAATAAACCCCGAACAAACACTACTTTAGACCCACTCTCTCCTTTCTTTCGTTTACTAATTGAACATATCCATAATAATTATTAGAACTGGGATTGGGACAGGGGCCGCAACCAAATTTGGTTTAAATTTTCTCCCTGATGTGTAACCCATGGTGTGATTTACATTAGCTTTTATTTTTAACTCTTATTTTTAAATTACATAAAGGCTATTTTAAAAACGATGGTTTTAATCTTTCGTTTGCTCACTTTGTGGGTAAGATTTTTCGAGGAAAATCGAAGTTATAGTTTTTATTTTTCAGCCTGCTTCATGTTTGTATCCATCTATTCTGTACAAAGTACAAGTTGTAGTGTAGGTGTCATTTCATTCTCTCGGTCCACCGTAACTGCCCGGGGCAAAAGTTTGTAGCTGTTATTGTTTGATGTTCTACAGATGATAATAATGTAGATAATAATCTCCACCACCTGAATGTTAATGAGTTCATCACATATTATGTATAAATAATGCAGCATACATGCGTCAATTTACTAGACTTTCCTGCAATACAACCGTAGGATTGATCATGGCTCTCTGGTTTTTGCTAGCATGTGTCATTGTTGCCGCTACCAGCTATTGTGTGCGTTGTTTCTTTCAAAACTTTAGTTTCGCTTATATATATATATATATATATATATATATATATATATATATATATATATATATATATATATACATATATATATATATATATATATATATATATATATATATATATATATATATATATATATATATATTCTTTATTTCTTTATTTACTTATTTATTTATTTTATTATTTATGTATTTATTTCTATTCCAGGAAGGCTCAATCTATCGTAATGCTTTTACTTATATTGATTCAATCGGAAAAGGAAAAGGTGGGGTAATAGTAAGCCGTAACCTCCATGACATACTTCGGAGAGAACCGACCATTGATTCTCTCTCAGAAATTTTACTATCGTTGTTTCTTGATGCATCTCAGGGTATGTTATAAATAATGTTACACCACATGCCGTTACTGTTACATCGGTCTAGTTGAGCGTTTGTTAATGGTTATTTACAGAACAAAAATATCAGCAATTGCATTGACCTTAAACTAAAAACTAAATGATAAATTTTACAATCATGTTAATTCGGAAAAGAAACAATAAAAATATACTAACACAACCTATTTAATTTAATGTAAGATATTAATAAGAAATTTTGTAAAACCTAATATATGTGTATTCCGCTGTTGTGGCAAGAAAGCCAGGTAATTGCTACCATATTTTTATAGAGGCAAGATCGTTCAGGTGTTTTAATTAAACAACTTGTTAAACTATTAGCTGTCATCACTATAAATATCTTTTGAATTAAACAATACTAATATTACAAATTAAAACATTTAGAACAAAATACTATAAATTTTCATATGAATATTGGCAGTAAATATTTTAAATCTAGGAACAGGAATTGAAGCTGAAGAATTTAGAAACCGTACGGTCACCCTAAAAAATCAGGCACTTGAGATTTTGGCGAAACAAAGCTTTGAAGGTAAATAAATTACAACGTTCTTATTTTTTTACAACAACTGGATTAAATAAAAATGCTCACCAATGAACAAACGTAATGCATGCACGCCTTTGTACAATATTTTGACCAATGAAAGTAGCCAATATTTTTTTTAAAAATCATAATGGGAAGGAGTGTCGGTAGAAGAGAGTTTGACCGCTAACCCGTAAGTCTCGCTTTCGAATCCGGGTTCAAGTCAGTAGACTGTCCCTGAGTCCATCCAACTCTGATGGGTACCTAACTCCTGTTAGGGAATGTAAAGGCGGCTGGGCATAGTGCTGACCACACTATCCTTTCATATGCCGAGGTCACAGAAACAAGTGAACTCTATTTCACTTATCCCGTAGACCGTCCGCTTTGAAGGTAAATTTACTCACTTTATTCACTTACTATAAAACATTAGATATTACTTTGACTTAAACGCGAACAAAATGTTTATTGAGCTTCATAACTTACTATGCATCTATTTAAAACAATTTATGTTTATTTCAGTTTCCAATGAAAACACAATTAGTGTCTTGAAAGAGCTGTCATTGGATGGTTACAGCAGCTTTAAGCTCTCTGTCTTTGCTGATGGTAACTATTTGCTTTTAAAGAAGGTCCCCGGAATCCTTGACTATAAAGAACACTCGGACAATATTATTATGCAACTGTGCTTACATCATAAATCAATTACCAGCATTCAAATACGCATACCTCATTCATTTTTTTAATATTTAATTTGTAATAAACAAACCGTCCAAATAGTCCAGATTTTTTAAATATAAAACAAGTCCAAATAAATTATTGAGATTTATATATAAAAATACCGAAAAAGATATTGGGCGCTAGCATTGTCAAGAAAATAAAAGAAGGCAGTATATATTAATCAAACAACCGGGTAGGGAATATACCAATACACCGCTACTGCAGCGAGTAAATAAAAAGAGACCATAAAAACAACCACCTGATGTAAGCCTTTACCTTTCAAAACAAAGTCGTCCTAAAACTGCGATATCATCTTCAACTTAAACGAAATATGATGACCAATTTGATGTGAATCTTTGAAGCTAAAAATTTTAACAAATACTTTTAAATTCAACATTTTAAAAGTGAATCAACTCACTAAATTATATTTTATGCAAGTGTATATCAAGAAGAGATTGGTTCTCTCCATTAGTTATTGAACTAATTTCTATACATGCCAATTTCAGCAATTGTTTAATCAATTAAAATGAAGTATTACAATTAACTTAAAAATAACATGTCGTTATGATATCGACACATTTAATGCAAATATACATTTAGTAATACGCTTTTTTGTTGCCACGCATATAGAAAATATTAATTTTATTTTTACAAGGTGCAACTGAGCAACAGTCGATGACAATGATGAACTGTTTGAAGATACTGAAAACTCTGATTGACAATGCCGCTAAACTTGATCGTATGACAAATTATGTACTTTTAATATAATCGTTCATGTTAAGTCACATATATATATATATATATATATATATATATATATATATATATATATATATATATATATATATATATATATATATATATACTTTCTTAAGTCTTAAGCGTATGTAAATAAAGTATTAAATGAAATAAATTGGAAAGCTTATTACTTAAAAGGCAAATATTGTAGATTGTAATTATAATAGTCCTAGAAATGTATGTTGGAACATACACTAGACATTCTCTTTCCATTGGTATATCATTAGTGCTCTTTGTTGTTTTTATTTTTGTTTGTTTATTTTTTTAATTTCAATTCCAATCTTGTTAGCAAGCAGCCGACAGTTTTATCGCTACATCGCAGCTATAGCAGATGTTGCTAGTATTTTGACTCAGACGGTGGACAACACTGGTAATTATTTTAATGCATTTTGTTTTTCTTAGTTACTAAACCCATACAAAATTTAAACACTTAAACTAATTAAAGGTGTTAAAATCTTTCATATTTTAATAATCTAAAACACTTTTCTGTCTTAATAAATTATAAAATGCAAACATATATTCTGACCTCTTTATTTTAATATTATGTCCAAAGGCGTAGCGGGGGGCGGGAGGGGCGGAGTTGTGGACCGCACTTGGTGACACCAAGGCAAAAAATAGCAAATAATATATATAGAAAAATGATAACTTCGCTTGATTAAATTATTAATTAGAGTGGATTAAATAGTCTATATTAAGAGCGAATTGGACAAATCATGACATAGGTGGATGGAGGGGGGGGGGGGGAGTGACACATTGACGTAAACCTGCTAATGATAAAGAAAACATGCAACATCGAGCTGTATTTATGACAGAATATAGATACAAATCGTTAGTATTATCTGAGCACAGTTTAAAGCGATCACCGTGGAGGTGACGAGGGGGGGGGGGGGTGGAGTTACATCAACTCAACGTTGAAATGTATGTCTGAGGAAAACGGTTTGCTAGAGAACCGTAATAACCTATATGTTATTCCATGTATGTAATATGGGTGGGGGTGGGGGTTTACAAATTTAAACACATCCAGAAGAAGAAAAAAATATTTGAATATATATAGACATGCGTATACACATCCTTATATATATATATATATATATATATATATATATATATATATATATATATATATATATATATATATATATATATATATATATATATATATATATATATCGATATATATTTTTTTTCTTACGGGCGGGGGGTGACACCTTTAGGTGCCGCACCGGATGATACCCGACCTCGCTACGCCACTGATTATTTCACTATACATTTAGTATTAGATTCGTGTTTTGTCGTTGTTTACCTATTAATAAACACGGTTATATTTATTTGTTATTTTTATAAATCGAGAGAGTTTTATAGCTTTTTTTAAACACACTTTCTTTTAGTTAATCTGATCACTGCGCTGGAAAACGGAAAAAGGGTGAATAAAAAAGTTATTAAATACAAACATATTTTTAAAATTACTGTTTAGTAAATATGATCAAATAAATTTAAATTTATTAGAATAGTCTAACACGGAAATATTTTAAAAAGCGAATAGAAAACCAATTTATTTTATTTTTTATTATGTGCTGATCATCTAGAGCCGCAACTAAATCAATTGCATATTTTAGTTAAATTTAAACATTATAGATCATTTAAAAAATGTTAACCATTATTTCACAATTTAGAAATATTTCATATCCTAAAAGTCTTTAAGTTTTATTTTTGGTCTTTTCAGGCAACAGAAACAAAACGAGACGGTAGGAATAATGAAGTGTTTTAGTTTTTCAAGATTTTATTGGTGATTTCCTAATGCATAATTACAATTATACGGCCAAATAATAATCATAACATATTTTGAAACCTAATATTTTATTTTTCCTTATATAAATACACTCTGGTTTCATTTCAGTTGAAAAAAGAAAAATAAAAATAAAAATAAACATCACAATTGAATGGGGCTGAAGAAAAAAGATCATCTCATGCAAAGTAAACTACTTTATTCAAGAAGTCAAGTTGATCTGTGGATTACGTTTAGAGGTATATTCATGTTAATGTTTGAGATTAAAAAAGAAAAATCGTATTAAAATCAAATAACTGCATTCGAATTCTGATATTGTTAAATATGTTTTAAACCAACCCGCACATATATCTTTGTTCAAATGTACCTGTTTTTATAATTGTATATGACTGTGTATGACGGTGTATGTGTATGAGAATGAACTCTTTTATAATGTACGTGCTGCTTACACATACTTCGCCACGGTGAAAAACTCTGCAAAGTACGTTTTGTAGGATTAAATAGAATGGCACCAAACATAATTTTTTTCTTTTGAAGTTCTCGTGAAATAAATATTACTTTCAGAAAAAAATAATTTAAAATAATTAAACGGAGAGAATAACGGAGGAGAAAATTAAACTAAAGCAACTACGCATCTCAATCTGCACAACACCCTGAAACACAAACAAAACAACACATCCACCTCTCCGTGCCAACACGACACATCTCACTGCATCACGATCCACACCCAATCGCTTATCCTACACCATACACTCGATTTATCATACACGACAACACATACAAACAAAACACAACACACAGAGTAGATCAAAACTACCACCTGGCTGCACGCCTTAACAAACACCACCTCATACAGCACCACACCAGTAACGACACTGTGACGACTGTGTGAGAGGTTTGAACCACTTGTTCACTTCCATGTGATAATATCAGACACTCTAGGTAGTCATTGGGCCATTTCACTTCCAGACGGTCAGGTGAGAATTTATAGATAATACGAACACAGGCTTTCTTCAACTAATTTATTCTGGTATTGGACTTATAACCTTCACCTACATGCACATGCTCACGAGTCACTCTCCCCAAAGGCGTAGCCGGGGGGGGGGGGGGCGGACCGCACCGGGTGACACCATTTAGGGGAGGTGACACCAAGGCAAAATATAGCAAAATATATAGAGAAAAATGATAATTCCACTTAATTAAGTGATTAATTCGAGTGTTAACTAGTCTTTCAAGAGGTGCTAATTGCTAATCGAAAGTGTGAGGGGGGGGGGGGAATCGAAAATTTTAAGTTTGTCCCCGGGAATGTCGCTTCGCATCTGGGGGGGGGGGGGGGGGTGACACGATTAAGTGCCGCACCGGGTGACACCCGACCTTGCTACGCCACTGACTCTCCCGACTGTGTCATACCGGTCACAATATGTCCCCTCACCACGACGATCAAGATAAGACTAACTCACACACAATGCACAGCAAACAAGTTTCTACCCACAATGTCACTATCTTTCCTCCGCTGCGTTCAACATACCTTTTGCATCAACATTCACTCACGCCTATCTATACTTGAAACATGCATCACAACAGACACCCCCGAAGCGAATCCAATGATACCCCGGTCCACAAGTCATCACACGCTTCAAACGCCACCTTACACCCTGAAGAACAACATAGCACACCATCCAAACAAAACACTACGCTCTACAATATATAGTTAAAAAGTCTTGAGATCATTGGTACTGAGAATATAGTCCTGAGATAATTAATTTCTCCATGAGATCATTTATCCAGAGATCATTTGTCTGAGTTAATTTGTCCGTGAAATATTTTGTCTGGGATTTTTTGTATGAGATAATTTGTCCTGTCCTTTTCTATATGTCTATCCGTATATATATGTGCGTGTGTGTATTTAACGATATATATATAACCAAATGGAAACCTTCACTAGTTATAAATAATGAAGTTTAATACAAGTTCATTAGCGTACACACATTTTTCGGAAGCCTACACTGTACAACACTCCTCCACAATGCTGCCAATAAGTTAATAATCTAACTTGCCTATCTTTTGAAATACTATTTTTGGCAGACACTGCTCAAAGTTTGCAACTGCCATGATTGAAAGCCATAAAACGAAGCGAAAGCCATGCATCACGTTTGTCTTTACAAATGTAGCCCTAACAGTCTCATGTTATTGGACCTGACCTTGAGAGAATGATTGATACAAAATATACTGACTGGCATGTAAACATTAAGTTATTTGTATAATATAATCTTTAAAGAATATTTTCAAGAAATCTATTTTTGTTAGCGTTTTCAAAGACAATGTCAGTCTTCCCTTGTATGTTACACGTATTATCAAGGGATTCAAAGGAGAAGGGATACAAGTAAATTTATGGGGGGATCACTAAAATCCATCTACCCTTCCCCAGGTTTATCTATATAACTGTCCGGGTCAGTGCAACCGTGGTGAAACCCACGGTGGTTAATCTTATCCTTATTCTAAATGAAAAATCTACTAAAAATAAAACAAAAACTTTAACAATATAATAAAATTTATTTAACAAAAATATGCAACCAAAACTTACAGAAAAACTAGAATCTAGATCTAGATAAAACAAAACACTCAAGACATACAAAACAAACAGAACTCAACGAAACAAAACACCCAATTTTGGACCACCGTCCATACACCTCATAAATGTGACACAGAAACTCTTCAACACAAAGGCCTCGACATTCCCGCAGAATGTCCCTGTCCACACACCACAATCACGAACAAAAACACAATTCTACGCACAAGGAAATAGTCCCTAATACAACAATAACTAACATTCAGGACATAAAGCAAAGTGGAGCAACACTCCTAAACAAAGTTTGCATAAATAATAACATCAAAATATAAACAAGACACAATAACCAAGCTATAAACCATTTTAAAATCAAAATCATATCAGCGCCATAACAGCGGACTACTTAACTAAAAACCACAACAATCCTCAGAGGAACACTAAAAGCGACATTCACCTATTTGTAATAAAATAATTAAATAACTCCCCAGTCCCTTACATTTATGTATAGTTTTCTCCTTGATAATTTTTTTTTTATTTACAGAAAGAAATAATTTAGCTAAAAGGCTATGCTCCCTGTGGCTAAGTTTAGAACAATAATGTCTACTTTTTACAAGCTTTTAATTAACTCACTACCTCTGTCGTCAGTCTGTCGTCAGTCTAGACCGAAACGCCGGAGCGAAAATCCGGACACTTCTACTTGATAGGTACGGTTCACATTGAAGACAATGCAATCTGAAATTAAATTTGACTTTATTGGATACCTAATTAATTTTTTTATGAATTAATTAGAATGTGGACCTAATTAGTAGGCATATATATCCAAACGCCATCACGTTCAATAGGTGCGCAATGGATTTTATTCATGAAACTCTATTTTAAATAAAAACATGTAAAGTACTAAAAAATGTTTTCATAAAAAACGTTTTAATAACAAGCTTTTACATACTAATGCACTAAAAAGTAGAAAATAAATTATAGACTACCCTTTAAATAACTATAAAGAAAAGCGTGGGATAAAATTTGTTTTGTTAAGATAAAATTACAATGAGTCATGGGGAATTCCCCAAGCCTTATTTTTAAATAAAATAAAGAGCTATGATTTTAGGCTGTAGACCAGAGTTTCTTCCAGGCATCTCTTCGGGGGGAGGGCTAAATTTCAAGTGCCCCCCCCCCCCCCCCCCCGGAGAAAAAGTCTGGAAGAAACACTGCTGTAGACAGACTAATTTAATATGCTAATATTAAGCTATACAGAGTTTTTTACCCTTGTTATGAATTTTGGCATTTCTTTGAATGAACCGGTTTGTTTAAATAAAAATCAAGTTTTACTGTAATCGGGCTAGTGTTTATAGCTAAGCCCTTCACACATTTTCGCAACAGGAACATAACACGGAAGTAAAATTGGCTTGTAGCTTACTGGACAGCGGTTAAGATGTGCAGCAGTGGCGGAACTAGAAAAAAAGGGCTCCCCCGCAAAGAAAAAATTAGGGCCCCCTATATATGCGTGTATATATATATATATATATATATATATATATATATATATATATATATATATATATATATATATATATATAAATATATATATATATATACATATATATATATTTCCTAACTGAATAATTTAGTCTACATCATTGCAATAAATAACCATTCTGAGTGAACAAACCAGAAAAAATTTAGTCCAAACTAATCTTGTGTTACAAATATATCATGAACAATCTGGTCAAAAATATATAAAGACGTTAGCTTGATTCGTGAATGGTTTCTCGCGTTATGTTTATTTTTTTCATTTTTGGCTTTTATAATATCAATTTTGAAAACATTGATTTTTATATCTATATTATTGTATAGTTCGTATTATTTAAATAACAATTCAGAGAATCAATTGCTTTTTAATATACATAGTACAAAAATATTTAAATGAGCTTCGTGAGCATCCCTATTTTAAAGAAAGGCAGTAGTGTGAATGTTTACCTACCTTTCAAACTATAGCTCTTGTAGATTTTAAAATATTTTTGTACGCAACAATCTCTGCAATAGTAGACATGTTTTTTTTTTTACAAAACCACTTTCAAGATGCATGAAAAACATAATAAAAAAAAAAAATCAATGTTTTTTGGTCGGAACTGGGCCCCTAAACGTCCTGGGCCCCCCGCATTGCGGGGTCTGGTGGTATGGTAGTTCCGCCCCTGATGTGTAGACAATGTTTCCCTGTATGTTTATTGTATTATCTTAAGTGTACAACACACGCGAACAGTAAGTTGAAGCACTTGAGTTGATTAGATAAACACTTGGCCGTCACTTCTTTCATCCGCTTTCTTTACATTTGTGATATATGTATTTTTAATAACAATAGTGGACCTAGAAAAAAATCCCTCACATCAATAATTGTGTTTTGGGCGTATATATATATATATATATATATATATATATATATATATATATATATATATATATATATATATATATATATATATATATATATATATATATATATATATTGTATATATATATATTGTATATATATATATATATATATATATATATATATATATATATATATATATATATATATATATATATATATGAATACAAAAGTCAGTATGAATTTATAAATTCTGGAAAAAAAAAGAACACAGGTTATATTTCTAGTGATTTTATTCCGATCATATTTTGACATATTTTGATCCTCAACCCCACCTCCCATCTATTTGAGTTACCAGTGGGTGCCTTACGTC